TAGGTCTGCATTACGCAACATCTGCGTGCAAGCAGCTCCCCTTCCCTTCCCTGGGAGCAGCTCACACAGCAGCATGATGAATGCCAGGGCAGCCCAAGGCCAGGTGCTGGGGTTTGTTTGCACTTCTTCAGGACTGCCAAGCCACCCTGGCACAGCCTGGCATGCAGCTTGCTGGCGGTCACAAAGCCCAAGAGGGACACACAGCACCACCGCAGCTCTGTTTTGACAGTGCTTAAGCCTCCCTGCCCCTGCTTTTCACTCAGACACATACACAAGGGGAAGCCAGGGAGGCATGAAGGACCTGTAGCTTGAGGGAAGAGAATTGCTCAGGATGGTCAAGTTGTTTTGTAACAAAGACAAAGGTAAAAAGGGAACATCAGGTAGTAAACCCACTCCCTGCAGAGTGAGGCAAAGGCAGCTCCAGCCCTGTCTCTAAGGCTGCAGAGCTTTCAGTCCTCTGCATAGCTTAAATGGGCCCTGGAGATAAGTGCACAAGACTGAGCTTTTACAGGTATCCCGTGTGCCAGCACAAAGTGACACTGTGCTATCCCAGGGCTTTCCCAGCTCCAATACCTTTGATCCTCTGCTGCTCAGCATAACAGCACATGGCACTGAGTCGCCCCTCAGTCCACGGGGGAGAGAGAATGAGGATTAATTAGCTGATGTTGGCACATTGCTTTGGATAGATGCTTCATTGCCGCATGAGCCACAGGTTGTTATATACTGAGCCGAGTCAAATGCAGCCCTGGCTTCATGTCTGTGATCTCTGCAAGAGTAAGAAAAAGAAACATAGAACCGTGTGGGAGAAATTTGTATGTTCACATTGGGGCAATGCCAATGCTGCTGTCAAACCTAGGAGAGTGGCCAGCACAGAGGTTCAGGAGAGCTTTGAGCTGATCAGTGCAGACAACGATAGTGCCTCGGGGACTGCCAACTCTCAACAAACACCCAAGGTGTTTTGCCAACCTGAACACCGGGCAGAAGCAAGGCAGGCCCAGCTGTAGCATGACACAGTCACACTGTCACTGCAGGGTAAGCATACAGTGGGACCAGAGAGCTTCCACAGGAAGGCACAAAATATTCCGTGCTGACAGAAAGTGGGGAAAGCTTCCTCAGAGTGTGTAATGCTAGCTGGGCTTTTTAGGTCTTTACAGTGTGACTCTGCCTCGCTCCTGCACAGAGAGCTCTCTAGAGCACAGGTGGCCCTGGCACAGCTTGTTGTAATGCAGAGAGAGTTGGATCCAGAAGACAGAGTAGTTGCTGCGCACCAGGGCCAGGTTTCCCAAGGGGAGGTGTTCTCTCTCGTTGTTTTTGTCCTTGCCCCACCTCGGTGCTCCTTCCCGTGACGTGTAGAGCCCATGGGGCTCTCGCACCCAGGCCGCAGCTGCACCTGGGCTGGTGGCGAGGAGGCAGCCTGCACGTATGTAAAACATCAACCCTTTCACACCCCGCTGACTTCCCTCGGCAAAGGAGGCAGCAGGGCTGGGGGGACGGGCATGGTGCCTTTCCTGGCTCCTCTCAAAATCATAGAATCATAGAATTTTAGGAGTTGGAATGGACCTTACAGATCATATATTCGCAATCCACTGCCCTGGGCAGGGACACCTCTCCACCAGACCAGGATGCTCAAGGCTTTATCCAACCCGACTTTGAACACTGCCAGGGTTGGGGCATCCACTACTACCCTGGACAGCCTGTGCCAGTGTCTCACCACCCTCCCAGGGAAAAACGTTTTTCTAATATCTAACCTAGACTTCCCCTCCTACAGTCTGAACCCATTATCCCTTGTCCTATCATTGCAGTTCCTAACAAAGTGTCCCTCTCCAGCTCCCTTGAAGATCCTTTCAGATACTGAAAAGTAGCTATGCCCCACCACATGGTAAGCCCGAGGGGGATGAGGGATGTCAGCATCGCAGCACGTGTCAGCTCTCACAGAAGGAGCCTGTGGCAAAGGAAACGTGGCCCAGCACGGGCCAGGAGCCCGTGCTACTCAGCTGCCAAGGAGTCTGAGCAAGTCACATCACTCCAGAGTCCCCTGTGCCCGACCTCTCCCGTGCACTGGTTCTTCACAGCCAAGACAGCCCCTCCTGCACAAAGCTAGCCTGAGGGGATGCCATCCTGCCTAGCATCGCCGCGCTGTATTAATATTTAACAGTGAGGAAAAGATCCAGAGACTTTGATTTCTCCCACTGGCCAATTCAAGGATAATTGAGCTGTGCAGGGAATTTCAGCATTTCAGAGGGTGGTTTCGTTCCAGTTCAAGACAAAACCCAACCGTGCCGCAATGCCTTACGAGAATGATTACAGCCCAGTTTCAGGCAGCCTCCCTGCAGCACAGTCAGGCATGGAAGCAGCACAAAACATGACCAATCTCAGAAGGTGCCCAGCAGGCAGGTCCCACCAAACCCTCCCTCAGAGAACTCAGGTAAAAGTCAAACTCTGCTAAATAGGAAAAAATGGTTTCTTCTGAATGTTTCCTCTCAAATCCAGATTTGTGACCCCAAAGCAATGTCAATTTGCCCTCTTCACACCCTCCCCAGTGGAGGCAGCTCCTGTTGTAGAGGCAGAGTAAGTGAGGCACAGTGAATTTTCACACACGCGCCCAGGGTTATGCAAGAAATTAGCCACAGAGGTGAAACAAACGCAGCGTTTCTGGCTCCCAGCTCTGGGCTGTGCCAGCTATTGCTTTCTCTTGCATATAAATCACTTTTCCCCACCAGTGAAGGACAGCTGGCCACTGAATGGAAAGTGGCAGTTGTTCAGCAGCCCACAGCAACACTGCACACCAGCTTAGGGTGGGAAGTAGAGAACACTCAGCGTACAGAGGAGACTGCCAGGGGATCTGGGCCAGCTGAGTGGAAACAGAGCAGCTGGAATCCAGCCAGAGCAAAGCCCAGTGCTCCTGCAAAATCAAGTCAAAAACCCCACAGGAGGAAGCGTCTCCCTTGCTTTTGCCAGCAGAGCAGATACCTCTGCCACAACTCTGCAGGTCAGCTCCAGGCAGCAGAACAGCACTCCCTTCTTGCCCACAGCTGCTGTGGACAGGGGTCACGATGAAAGCTCCCAAGCAGGTCTTACAGTGTGACCACAGCTGCTGAGCACCACCACTGACCTAACCCAGCCATTCCCTTCGAACTACAGATCTTGGCAAGCAAAGAGGCCCAGTTTTAGACAGTCCTCAAAGCAAATATAAGAGGTGGCCTTGAATCTAAACCTCTACCACCAGTTTCAAGGTTTGGAAAGGACAGATAGATCCCCAGGGCTGGATTTATCTCTGATCTTTGTTCCAGGACAGAGTGATCTTTTACTATGTGCGCCGTATCAGTACATAGACTTCCCTGTTGATACAGACTGAGCAGAACACATCTTATCATGCTTAAAGGTTGGTCTGATTTAACAGTTGGTGCCACAAAGTCAAGAAAAAAACCCCTTCCCTTGGAAAACCTGGGGTAGTGGAGAATTATAATCCCAACAGGTAATGTCAACCAAGCTGATTTGCTCCAAAATCTCTCACAGAACAGCTCCAGGAGCTGTTCAGCTAGCAGGCTGAGCATACAAAATCTTCTTCAAGTAACTGGACTAAAGGTAAAACCCTGTGGGTCCGACTGCCGTAGCAGAAGAAACAGTATTGCAGCCTCATTCAGTTCCATGCAAAAGAAAAGTGCAACTGGTGCAAGGTCTTCTATAATATTTAAACCAGTTTTACACTAATTTTGCTGACATAACTGACAAACAGAAACACATCCACAAACTGAAACAGTCAAAGCAGCAATGCTCACGGTACTTTTGCAACAGAGAGGGGGATTTCTCTTTGAAAATCTCCACAGGGATAAGGAACTGAGGCAACGGAGAGAGGAAGAGAAAGCAAATGACTCCAAAATGTTTCTGTTAGTTTAGATTTCAGTCATCTTGGCAAGCTCTTTCGTGATGTTTGAACACAACAGAACCTGAGTCACTAGCCTTAATTCAGCTTCAGGCCTTCCATGCCTCTGATCCCAATCCAAGTACTACTTTCAAAAGACCTTTATCAAACATTAGTCCTGGTTACTCTATCCAGATGAAAGATAATCTTCAACTGTCTTGTCTTCTCTGGTAGTAAGGGCAGTGTTATGGCCTGTCTAAACTAATAGCTAACAGTTCCTAGAGGTATTTACATAGTTGAAGATGTAGCTTTAGATGTGTCCCAACTACTTTGGGTTGTAAAACATGATGGACGTGAGACACAGTGTCATATTCTTAGATATGCTCCACTTCCCCTGCCAGTTCTAGTAAATACTTTCTCCTAAGAGTAAGAAAAATATTTGCCCCAAGGTGAAGCAAGATGCTGCTCTTAAGGAACTAGATTTTATTTTGTACCAGCTGAGATTCAGCCACCTGTAGGAAGTATCTTTCCTCTTTGAAAGTAGTAGAAGGGAAGAAATACCACATCTGAAACATAACAGTGGAAAAAAAACCTTTTGGAAGGTGCAGGAATGGACAGTAGCACATGTGGGTTGCTATGAAGCATTCTGAGCGAACCAAAAAAAAGTTTCATTTTCACTAGTTAGGAAAGCACAGCGAAACTACTCTTGAGGCCAAAGGGATTTTACCTGAGTCCAATAGTTATTAGAGTCAGCTAAGAGGTAGAAAAGTCTCCTTGCCTTATAGCAGTTGCAGAGGACATGAAAGAGTGGCTCATTTCATGCCACATCCCTTCCTTCCCTCCCCCAGACTGCACCTGCACACGAAGAGCAAATCGAAACCAGTCTATTCTAAAGCATGGCCTCCTTTATTTTGAGGGCCCAAAGCAAGAACGAGGTTGAGACAGCATAACCAACACAGAAACTTGTTTCTAAGCATGATTGACCCTCTCTGGTGGCAAAGTCCTGGTTAGTACCTCCAGGATTGCAAAGCTAGCTGAAAGTAGGGCATGCCCATTAAGCTTCCAATCCTCCTTACACAGCCACGACAGTTTGCACATGTCTTTCTCCTTTGGGTTTTAGCCAGAGTCCAGCCCTTTTGGGCATCATAACACAGCTGAATGGTTTAGCTCCTTTTGTTCCAGCTGACAAACAACCTAGCCCTCCCCCGTCAGCAACAATACAACTGGAGCTAGGATTTGTGTGTCCTCTGAGCAAGGATACAGGCTTTGTGCCTTGCTGAGCTGTCTTTGCAAGGACTGCCAACACTCACAGCTGATTAAGCCTGCAGTGCTGCTTTCTGCTTTTCTTGCTCACAGACAGATGTCAGAAACAAGCTAACCAAAACAGCGCACACAGCGAGAGCTCTGCACCTAGGAACATTAAAGCAGACTATTAGGGATTAAATAAATGAAAACAGGGGGGAGCTTAACAACACATTCTCTCTAGGCTTCATTCCTACCTGGCATGCAATTCTGGGTAAGAAACACTGTATTCTGGCAGGTGGCTCAACTGGGTGTACAGGAAGGGCTGTGTTGGGAAAGCTTCTGCCACCACCACGTGGCTGAAGCCGCGAGTGCAGCACAACGACAGTCAAGAGTTCAAACCGCCGGCAAGGACCAGCCTTGCTGCCTGGGCAAACTGGGGCAAGTGTTCACAGGTTTTAGAGCCCGTGCCATGTACCGAAGAAAGAGCACACAACTGTTAAACAATACTCATTTTATTAAATTACAACTCTTAAAGACACTAGTGACTTGATGCAAAAATAAAGTGTGGCTTACTGGTGATAAGAACCTGTTAGGAAAGGGATTACACAGCATATACCAAACCTGCAGAGACTACACGTTTTCTGTGTGCTGCTGTGGTGCAGTTTGCTGTGTCTCACCTCTTGTCAGCCCTTCAGGCTGGGTTACCATGGCTGTCCTGGGTTTGACAGGTAGAGTCAAAAAGAAAGCTAAAGTGCTAGATTATCTTCTTTGATCCCTTCCTCCCCAGTTAGGTATTAGGCATGGAAATACTGAGCCCTTCGCTGGTCAGGTGCTCACACAGCTGGATCAATAACTGCCAAGTGCAGTCCATCTCGAAGCTGCAGGTCACCCTTCCTTCCCCAAAACCTGGCAGCAAGGTTAGTCCATTCAACATTTCCATTAACATTCCATAACATTTCATAACATTCCATAACATTCCAAGGCTAGTCCATTTCAACATTAGTCCACCGTGCTGCATTTCAACCGAGAGGAAACACGAGGCTGCTGCCTCTTCTCTCATACTTTGGAGATAGCAGCCTGTTCTTCCGATATTCTCCCAGAAAATCACATAGCTCTTGGCCACTAGCCCAGTGGATGAAACTCAAAAACTTTACAATGAAATGGGATTCAGATGTAATAGCACATAAGAATCCCCAATTGAAACTGCCCTCCCCAAAGCACCTATATGTTATCCACTGAATAGGAATCAAGCTTTTCTTGAGAGATTAGCATCTAGGAACAGTTTTGGATGAGTGGTCATGACAAGTCAGGCAAAAAAGCTTCCCAATGTGATTCCAACTGCAGCAGCTTGAATGCCTGAAGTGAAAAAAACCTGATGAATGTGGCTGAATTATCACAATGAGAAGCTAATCTTCAGCAGAGTTCTTCATCAGTGAACTTAAGTACAAGGCAGAAACTCCTGGTACGAGACCAGCACAGATCTTTAACATTCGGAGAAGTCGTTGAGCAGTGGTAACTCGTATCCCTTCCAACTGGAAACCAAATGGAGAAATCATTTAATCAATAGAAAAGAAAAGCAGTGCTAATCTGTGATAAAAGAAAGAACCAGAGCAGGCATTAAGTGGCTAGCTACAGAAAGCCCCAAACAGACCCATTCGCTCCCCTAATGTTAAGGAAGGTACAGCGTTGCCAGCTGAAAGCCCTGAGGCACAGGTACTATCTGCTGGTAGGAAGCAGTCTCTGAGGATGGGGATGACATACACATAAAAGTACACAGAAAAGTGAAGTGTGCTACTGCTGAACTCCAAACTCTCCCTTCAGCTTTATAGACCAAGCAGGTAATTGGATAGGGTGGCATATCAGAGGGCAAAACAGTGTGTGAAGCCACAAATCTTGGCTAACAGGAAGCATTACATGGGCAAGGGAGTCACATGGCAAATCACAGCTCAGGGGCTCCCAGGAAGAGAAAATGTGGCAAGGAACAAGCATACCAAGACTTTGCATATCAGGTATGTCTTCATTAGTTTAGGCTTGGCTTCCTGAGGCTTTGAAGTAGCACAGGAAGGAGCAGGTTACTAGAAGGCTCATTTCAAGGACAGCCAGACTCCTGCACCTCTGCTGTTCTTGTAGAAAGAGTCTGGTCTCTGACACTTGTGCAAGACAGTAGCATATGCACATGTATTTATTGCTGATAAGGATCACAGAGCAGTGGAATTCAGGAATCCCTTCAGACATCAAATAAGCACCTTACCTCCAGCTCACAGAATAGCACAGGACTGCCATAGTCTTCTCCCAGTTTACGGATGTCACCGGTGTCAACGTTGCAATGATTCGCCCTGCCAGCTACAAAAACGTTTTCCCACATTACAAGCCCCATAATCAGCATTCAGTGAAGAAAAGTACCAGGAAACTCCACATCCACAATATGATCCAGAACTAATTTTAAGAGCACCACAGAAGGTAAGGCAACAGTGAGCAGTACAAAGAGAATGGTACAATACTTGATACAGAATTAGCACAGAAGCCTTTCATAAAACTAACAGCAGAAAAAGTGTTGCCACATTACTATTAATGTAACATTTAGGATAAGAGATTAGTGTAGCATCAGGACAGGCAGAACCTTCCACTCACGTATCAGAAACCCTCCTGGCTCATGTGGTATCACAAAGTGGTCTTGAATCTGAAGAATTCACTCCATCAGGAGAGCCATAGCATAAGACCATGCTAAGACTCCTTCTCACCCCAGAATTAGCCCCCTGACCCCCAGATTCCAGGGGCACAGCACCTCTGTTCCAACACTGAACAGTACAGTCCAGTTCCTCAGAGCTGAAGCAGGGGAGGTACACAGGAAAACACCCTCTCTGCTTGAGCCAGGGAGACAGAAGGACTAGAGGCACAACAGCACCAGACAGTACACAGCAGGGATACCAGTCTTGTAGTAAAACTATACTTAATAGTTTTGTAGATCATCCATTTAGATTCACTTTATTACCACAGTATCATATGCTCCTCACTGCTCATTAAGATTACCATTAAGGCAGATCTGCAAGAGCAGATAGAACAGACTTCTACAGTGCCACAGGAAAAAAATACATCAATAACACAAATCATATTCAGGGATTAGGGACAGAGAAGAGAGGTCTGACTAGCAAAAACAAAAAGGAGAGAGCAAATGAGCATCAGAGAAGAGAACCATGTTTAATCTGAGAAACAATAAAAAAGGCAGATGAGTTCAGAAATAATTTAAACAAAGCTTTTGACAAAACCACTGGTTTCCTTCTATTTGTTTCAAATCAACTCACTGCCCTGTTTTAAGAAAACCAGCAGCAAGTTGTGCTGCTTGGAGAGAAGGAAGAGGTGCCGTACGTACCCCCAGTGGCAAGAAAGCACACTTTCCCCAGGAAGTAGCTGGCATCCACATAAGTTAGGGAAGCTTCAACATTCTTCAGGCTGTCAGAAAAGTACAGACAATCCAGTTGGACAAGGAGGTTAAACCAGTGCAGCATAAGGACAACAGGAATAACTTTCAGAAGCACAATTAGAAAACCAATGATGTTAACATCTGCTGATCTGTGAGCTCGTAGAGTTCTGCTCTATGCTAAAAGCAAGACATCAGAGACCTCTGTAATACCCATAGCTGTTTAATAATCCATAACATATCCTTTCTACTCAAGACTCAACAGTTAGACTTAGTTTGAACAGTGTCCTCCATGATTTATGGACACTAAGCATCCGAATTCATTAAGATCCAATGAGACTTCAGCACCATTCTGGCTCTCTCAGAAGAGCTTGCCCACATATTTCTGCTGCACCATCTGTGCTGTAAGTGTGCAGCTGGGCCTGTCATTTTTGGTAAATGAGAGCCCAGGATCATCAGTCACAAGTTAAGTAAGTAATAAAATGCTGATTTCTGTGCCTTAGCAAGACTTTACTTATGGCCTGGGGACACAAATATCCTCTCCATAAAGACACGATAGAAAAGGGATCAATCCCTGCAGACCTCTCTCTTCTGCCTAGAGACATTCATGGTGCTGATCCCACTTGACCAGGTGTATCAGTGAACTGGGGACATAGACACAGCAACTGGCTGGTTATTTGGTAGCACTGTCCAGTGCACATCAGCCATCTGCTTATTACAGAACTTCACAGCACCACCATCATTTCCATCTGATTTTACAGACAGTGTCTTTCCAAAGCTCAGTTCATACCATCACATATCCGGATCCAGAAATAAATTCTGCTTTCTCTGCTATGGCAACTTAATGCACAACAGGCATGTTATTGGACAGAACAGTTCATTCCTAATCCACTGCTGGAGGCCAGAAAGCCACTGTATCTATTACTGAGCTGCTCCATAACAGCAAGTCTTGAGTTTGAAATTCACTATTCAGCAACTCCAACACAGTAAAAATGTAGATTTAGCCATCAATCCAAAATAGAATATCAGTTCCCCCTCTCATATTTTTCCCTTCTTTTACCTGTATTTGCTCTTGATGTCAATCATAAACACGATCAGATCTATCCTGGGCCGAAGGTGATCCCTCTCTGCAGCTAAGGGGAGGGATGGAGCAAGGTGACTGAAAGACAATAAATCTGCCAGTTTAATCAAATAGCTTGACAAGGCATTTTCCACTTACCCATAATCACATAACCATTGCAGTTCACCATGCAGCAAGTTACCAGGAAGCCTACTAATTACTAAATACGTGGGCACTGAAGAGACACTGATTCTTTCAGTGGTGCTCTCATATCTTAGGCCCACTCATAGTAATCGCTAGACAAAACTGGTTATAGTGGGAAGCTTATTAGAGCATAACAAGACTCACAGAAACATTTTCTCAAACAGATTTGTAGGGCAGTCATGCCACTTAATTGTTTTGAAGAGACCGTTCTAACAAAATGAATCTCAATGCTTTACTGGTACATTTTGCTGCCCAATTTCTGTTAAAATGCATCAGTGCTTTCCTGTCACATTCCAGAGATACTGCTCATATGCTCACATAGGAGAGATTACTTCTTCAGGTACAGAAAAACTTTAAACCAGAAATTTGTCACTAGTACAGCTTTATAGGTGAAGTTATAACTCAGAAAAAGAGCTTCTACTTTATCATTATCCCCCTTTTTAGCCCTTTCACTGTGTCAGGACCTACTAGGTTAGTTTAGGTGTCCTTCTACTACTGCTGATACAGCTGTTGGAAGAATTACAGGGTGGAGATTTTTGTGTCTCTTCCCACTACAAAAAGAAAAAAAACAACCCACCAAAACACCACAATCAACTAAACAAAAAAACCAACTAAACAAAAAAAAACCTAAACAAAAAAACCTCAGCAAACAACCCAAAAAACCCATAAAAGGTTTCAGCAGTGATTATTTGGACCTTCCACAGGGAAAAAGACATTATCAGCACTGCATTTTTGGAAGATCACCTTAAAGATAGATTGGACAAACAAAAATCCCTAAAGCTCAGTCTCTCTCACAATCCACCTCCTCTCTGAAAGCCAAGAGAGAAACACTGATTCTGATTTTCTTAGGTAATATTACTTTTAGCAATTCAATCTTCAGGAATTAACAGCTTTCCCCAGCAGCCACAGACCACGGCACACATTCCCTTCTATTAACCCTGTGCAGTTCGTAGTTTTGCCTGCCAGTTTCCAAATAAAGGTGTTCTTGTTTCTTACACATAAGGAAGGTATGACTTAACAAAAACATTCTGACACTAACACAAGAGATGAGCAAAGTGAGCTTGAAAGACACATCGTGACACAAACAAGCTTATTAATTTCAGGTGAAATTTAGGGAGACGCTGTGGTGAAAGTATCAGATCTCATTGTTGGGGTGGGGGGGAAGCAACCCAAAAAACTCCCTGTTATTTGGAATGCTGCTATATTTAAACCAACATCACCAGATGATGTCAGCACCCTCCAGATATGCACTGCAGAAGCCTTTTTTTTTTTTTCCCCAGTGATAAGAGACAAAAAAAAACCCCAGCCCTGCAATTCTTCTACCAACAGCTGTACCTGGCAGGTAGACTTGCCAGGCAGGATATTTCTTTGAAATATGCATAGTTCCAAAGCAACACAGTGGGGTGGGGGTGGGGGAAACCCCACTGTCATGGACATTGCTTTCCTAGCAATACTAATTCAGGGATTTATCTTGCTCTGTAGTGTAAGCACAAGATTCTGTGCCTTTGGGCAGTTTCCCAGCTGTAGTACCAGCAGCCATGTAGTTATGGCTCTCCACAGCTCAGCAGAGGCTGTAGGTTTTGCATAGAAAATGGTGTAATTAATTTACTATTAGTTAGCACAAACATCCAAGATGCCATAATCTGAGCAGTGCAGTCGCTCTAATTAGCCAGTGGAACATTAGCTTGGGGTGCTTTTACTGCATAGCCATGGATTACAGCAGCAAAATAACACAAACACCTTCTGAAGAGCTGACTAAACTCATTTGATCTTGGCAAGAGAGCTGTCAAGGACATTATATCATAAGAAGTTACTTAATCATGCTTTTAAGACAGGACTTGTCATGCAGCTAAAGTTAAAATTCCAAGTGCATCTTAATAGCTTGAGGAGGAAAAGCATGTGCATGCACACAAACCAAAAACAGCTACAAAGAGCACCAAAAGCAATAGACACCTTTCAGGAACACTTATTTGGTTTCAAGTAGTTGCAAGCATTGTAATTGTCCCATTCTGTCCCAGGATGTTTAACTTCTGTATGTGCCTGCCTCTGGACGGTAAAAACTCCTAAAACTCTGTGTTCCTCTCATACCCTTCCAATTAGTAATCAAACACCTGTGCAACATGCAAAGGGCAACAGTATTTGCATGGTGAACATGAACGTGGGAAGTGTTTCCACCCCCGTTTTCGATCATCCCCAAACTGCCTGCCCTGAGGACAGAGGGGTTTGCCAGCTGCAGACGCAGCCACATCTGGGTAGCAGCGGTGCTCTCTAGCGTTCGCAAGAGCGAAGTCTCTCTGAACAGAGTGCCTTGCAGCCCCGACTAGCGCCACGGGGGCAGAAACTGCATGATTAACCAGTTTTGCCGTGTGCATCCCTGAAGCAGAAACTCCCCGTGAATTCGAGGCACAGACGCTGCTCTGGCTGCATCTCTTGGACCACTGTCATGGACTTTGCCTTCCTAGCAATACTAACACAGGGACTTATCTTGCTCTGCAGTATGAGCACACGATCCTGTGCTTTTGGGCAGTTACCCAGCTGTAGTACCAGCAGCCACACAGTTATGGCTCTCCACAGCCAGTGGAGATAACCACAGCCAG